AAAACAAACAGCAACCTGTGAAGCAAAGTACCTACTTAAAGAATCATTGTAATCAGTTAAAACGTTTTCCTTTACAAGCTCTTTTTCTTTTGCCTAAAGTCTCTAATCCTACCTCTTGAACAATTGCTCCTGTATTAGTTTGGTTTGTTTTTTTCATGCTTTTCTGTTATGAATTCAACGCAGAAGAGGCACATCGTGCATTTTTGAAACTCTAGGAGGTTTTTCAGCTTCATCTTCTGCTTTGTTCTGTCTAGAAAAGTTATACCTAGACATGGATTCTACGTCATCCCACATCTCTTGTGCTTTACAGGCCTCTCTGCTGTTGCAAGTGACAGAAAGCCACTCCTCTCTGCCTCTCTGACACCTCTGACAGATTTAAAGCTTGGCAGAACTGTACCAATATAGGAAGCGGAGTTCCTGTCAGCCAGGAAAGTGACCCCTGCTATGTGTGACTATAACAAAGGGCCCCAAACATTACTGGCTGTGGTGCACACCTGACAGGCAGAGAGCTGAGGAGCTTGCATGACCTTTGCAAACTGAGAGAAATACTCTATTCTATGAAATGGCTGATATGACTCTTTTTTTTTCTTTGTGCATGTAATCCAGGTTATCTTTATGCACATATATGTTTCTGGTGCAACCTGGAACCTGGAGACTGTCTGCAAGTAGTCTCAGTCCTAAAAATCCTATATGGCTGACCCTGCCCTCTGACCCCAAGCTTCTCTCCCTGTCTGTGTCTCATGGAGAGCAAGTTGGGGTCTGCGAAGAGACAGATTCCTAATACAATAAATTGTATATGGCCAATAAAGTGATCTTATTGTCAACAAAATCTTAACAAGGACATCCATGAATATGATTAGATGTTAATCATGTAACAAAAATCATATTTGACATTATAGGTTGCTTGTCCGACTGTTTGACAGTGTATCACAAGCGAATATGGACCTGGATTCTATTCTCCCACATAGCTCTAAGAACACTTTGCCAAAGCTATTTAAATGACAGGTATGCTGTAATACATGCTCTCGATATGTGCAAAAAATCAAGAAATATGGAAAACTATGTGCACATAGGTATTAAATTACCTACATGCATCATATAATCTATCTCCTAACATGCCCTTCATTTACAGCAGCACTCCAACAGAAGGAAAAGGACTGATTTTTTTGCATGCTATTGCTACTGTTACCGATACGACCCTGGGGGCGGGGGTGGGAGGGGTTTTTATGTTTGTGAGAGCCCCCCATTGCCAGGGAATCCAATCCAGCTGACAATGAGGTAATGAGCCTGTGTTTAAAGCCGGCCTGAAAGTTGATTTTGATTTCTTGTTGGGCCTATCTACCTCCCTGAGAATGTGGACTACCGCTTGCATAATTAACACAACAACAGCGCTGTGGACCACTGACATTTTGTTCATATATAGAAACGACAACCATGGACCCTGAGGCCATGTAACTCATAAAGCCTTCAAGGTGGTTTTGTTTGCACAATCTGCTGGACACCTGCAGTGCTTGGTTAACTTCCTGGGCGCCTTGAAAGCAAGGCTGAAAGTGCTTGCCTGAGTGTAAAATGTACTCGACGATTACGGATTATGATTATGGACGATTACGGACCTTGTTCAGGTCACTAGCCGACTGTGACTGGGATTCTGGGCTTATGGTACGAGACAAGAGGAGAGATGAGATGGGAAGGAAACAAAGCAAAAGTGCATCCAGGTGACAAAACTAGGCCATTTTAGGCCTGTGGTTCTTTTCCTTGCCTGTCATGATGTGGGTCATGATTTAATCCCCAGCTGTTGCAGCTTTTAGGACTTGGGGTTCTGAGCCACGGAGAATAATGTCTCTTCTGATTTTCATTCCTTCCAAGTTCTTAATTACAGGCTTATTGATGTGTGTTTTCAACCTGTAGCATTATCTACATTATTAATTTTAACTCTTAAAGGGTCAAATGGGATATATAATTGGTTTCATCCCTGTGCCGTTTTCTAAATTACAAAACATCCCTCTCACACAAAACTGGCATAAATCAGTTAGATCTAACTGGATCAGTGCAGAAGAAAGAAACGCTCACTGTGGGCGTTCATCAGCAACTGGTCGACTAGGAAGAGACCTTTAGTAAGAAACAATGTTCTGTGTACTGGAAGTGTTAGAAGCAGCACCCCTTGAGCTAAATAAAAATCTAAACAAGCAGGCAGATCCAATAAATCACCAATCAGCCCCTGATACTTTGAGTTCAACTGGAATATAATACAGAAGAGCGTTCCTCCAGAACCAGGGCTGGGAACCATTGGTTGAGGTATATGTATCATTTTAACACATACATTTTAACACAATCGGCTGTTCTCACATGTAATAAGTGATTGAGATTTCCATTTGTTTAGAGCTCAGCAAAGACCTCTACCTATTTTCCATATAAAAAATTAATCTATATGTTGATGGACCTATAACACACGCAATTGATTTTACATAGATGTTCACACTGCTGCAGTTCTCCTTCTTAATATTTGGATTCTAGTACACAAGAAAAATACTCAAGGTGAATTTTATTTTTCTTAAAACAAAGGGTGGGAAATGTTTATTTAGAGAAAATCACTCAATAAAGTCAAAAATAATAACAGGCAAGTTGAAGAGTGTTCTGCTTTCTGAAAGTATTGGAAACAAGTTAAAGAATTTCTATACTGCAGAAAGAATTCCTAGAGTATTGATTAATCTTAGTATAACTGAGAATGAGGTATTGCTGCAAGCGGAATGACTACAATTTTTCACTTCCTCTCGGCCTGACTATTTTCCCAGTAGTTCTTTAGAAAAAGTGTCTGGATTGTTTCATAGACCTTTTACCAGTATAATTCACGCCATTAAGAATCGCACCAATTTCAGAATTGCAAATGTAACACCAATGCATAAAAAGCGGGACAAAATTAAACTAGGAAACTATAAGTCAATCAGTCTTATTTATGTTGCTGGCAATGTTACAGAAATGATAGCTGGAACTGAACTAAAAGAATTATTTAAAACATTTGCATTTTAAGAGACAGCCAACATGGATTTAGATGAAAGCCTCATTTAATTTACCAGCGACAAGGACAGTTGATCCACTATTGAAACCACTATAGAAAATGACATATTCAGACTACCAGAAAGTATTTGACAAGGTCGCTCATTAAAAGCTTTATTAAAAAAAACTCAATGTAAAAAAACGCACATAGATTGAAACTGGTTTAACAAACAACAATTCTTATGCATTTATCCATCCTAAAATGCATAACCTATGAAAGGGGCTGATATTTATTTTTTATGATTTGTATAAGCAATTTGGATTTTGATATTAGCTAACAAAACAGTTAATGGTTGCATGACACAAAAACACAAGTGGCAAACACACAAACAGCAGCAAGAGAAGTACCAAGGGTTAAAAAAAATGGATTGGATTTTATGAAATTTAAAAGTAACATTGAAGCACAAACATTTACTATGCATGTATATCCCACATGGGTGATTTGGAGCTGCAGGGAGTTACACAAAAGAAGCATCTGGTTGTTTATGTGAATTATTTTTCAGCTACATCAAAATAACATGAGGAAGCAAAGAAAAGTTAATGGAATACTTGGGGTGCATAGGAAAAAGTGTGGGATTCAAACACAGTGTAATTATGAACCATCTTTAAAATTCTTTAGTAAGACATCTACAATATTCTAGCTCCTAGAGGCAATTTGCTACAAGTATACAAAACGCCAAGGGGTTTAGATAAGACTATTTTTCAGGTATTAACAAAACCAGATCACAGTTGGAAAAAAAAGGAATGTATTGAGAGGAAAACAGGACCCATTTCTACAAACTTGTGTCCAGAGCATATGCTCTCCATCCTGTTTGTTGAGAACAAAAGTTATGCCTTTTGAAAATAAGATCTCAAACAAGGATGGACACAACGGCCACCTCTTGCTTGCAGCTGTGCGTACAAAGCACCATATTTCACTTTACTGTTTCTTTACGAGTTTCACACACTCACGTTTTACGCTGCCTTTTGCTCAGAAAGGGATGAATTTCCAAGTTACACATTACAGATTGCTTTACTAATATCGACGGCACCTTCAGTTTAAAAAAACTCATTTTAAATCGCAATCTGTGTGGGAACCATGAAAACGAACGACCCCCCCCCCACAAACAAAAATGGGTAAAACAAGATAATGGCGTTTTTGTTATAGTGAAAAAAGGGTTTCTAACTGCACAACCGCAGTTTGGCACTTCCCCCTAACCGAGCATTTTACTGAATCAATAACCAAGAAATAACTTCGCCTTTTACACCGAGCATTTTACTAAATCACGAACCAAGAAATAACTTCGCCTTTTACCATCACAACCAGCGCACCTCAAACTATCTACGCTGTAACCAAAAAATGGGGCACAGTCATCGCAATTACTCGTATATGTAGCTGGACCTACTAACCTGCTGTATAATTAAGGCCGCCTTTTGCAATAACACACGGAAAATGGCAGGACTCTCATCCAATCGTGGCATCGGAAAGGTAAAACGTCACCCTATTGAATGGACTGCCCACCAATCCATGCGAGCGGGCAGAACGAGCGAAGTTGTGTGTGTTTTTTCTATCCTTGCCGTTTTGTAAGTTTGTATGAGAGGCGCGGAGCTCCAGAGAAAGGAACCCCAAGACATCCACAGACAAGGCTGGTCACATGACGCGGCGGGCGCTCCTCATTGGCTGCGGCAGGCAGAGGGGAGGGCGTACCGACGGCGGCGGCGTGGGTTCGCCTGTGTGACACAATTACAACAACTTTGAGCTGGTGGTTTGGGGGGAAGTTTGTGATATTAACCAAATAACACCCCGTTTTGAAAAACCCCGCATTCATAGCACTCCATGCACAACAACGCTCTCGGTTGCATACAGATATTTTTTGTATAAAACAATGTAAAAAAAAAAAGAAGACCATTTTGGAGGGTTTCTTTTTTTTTTTTTTTGCTCTCCTGTAAAAAGGATTTACTGTTTATTTTTTTTTTTGCATTTTTTTTTTTCAATCCTGGAAATAAAAAAGTTGGTTTTCCCTCTCCCGATTTTTTTTGGCTTCGCTGTTTTGTTTTGGTGGAGGTTTTTCGTTGGCTGCCCCCCCGGTGCGTTCCCATGAAATCGTGCGGAGTGTCGCTCGCCGCCGCCGCCTGCGCTGCTGCTCGAAGTCTCGGCGCTACTGCTGGTGATGAGGAAAAGAAAATGGCGGCGGGAAAAGCGATTGAAACCGAAGAGGACTTTCCGAGGCTGACAGCGCAGGAGAGGGACACCCTGGCCGGGATAGACAGGTCAGAAAAGGGCGCGGTGCGGGGAAAATGCCGCTTTTTCTCTTCTTCCTGGCGTTCCGCGGTGGTGGTGGTCTTCTTTTTCCTCCCCAAAAAAAACGAGTGAATTTAAACCCGCTTGGTTATTTTTTGCAAAACCTCCCGAGTTAACGCGGAGCCGCCTGTGTGTTGTTTTCTGTTTTACAGCCGGCTGTTTGGATTTCAGAGGCTTCATGAAGATGGCGCCAGAACGAAGGCCTTGCTATTAAAGGTATTTGAAGAATATCGGACCCGAGAAGGTCTTCCCCCCCTTAAACTCCCGTTAGTGCATTTTGTACCTGGGAGGCACCTAGTTTAAAGCGCTTTAAGAGAAAAGAGGTCGACCTCATGGCGATGCGCCCCCCGTGCATTAAAAATTGGTGTGTTTTGCACCCTCTCCCCAATCTTGCACATTGGCAGAGCTGTGGGAGATCGGGAGTGGGACTCTTATTTTGGGGCATTTAATTTTTCAGGGTAGCAATGTTTGCAGCGGTGACGTTGTTAGTGTTATTGTGCGTGTGTGTTTTTAACATGGAAAAGTAGTGACTACATCAGGACCTTCGTGCATCTCACCAGGCTGCGCGGTTCCGTTTCCCTGGTTTTTTTTTTTTGGGGAGGGGGACAGTTTTGGCAAACTGGTCCTCGGATGTTGATGTAGGATCTGTAAAAATGGGTCAGTCATATTTGGGAGCCACGTCCAGTTTGTGGCGATATTACGGATTGTTAGATGGCTGTGCGGTTTAGATTGCAGTTGGATTTGTGTTATTGAACCTGAATTCGCGACGAGGGGAATTAGGATCTTTATTTTAAATCCTTTCACCGCCCCCCCCCCCATGACTTTAGCTCAAGCTAAAAGCAGAAATTGTTGCGGTTATTTGGTGCTTTCCAGCAGTTGCGTTCCCTGGATGTTATTTACATGGCCGTGTCGTGCAGTTAGCTGTACCCGCCACCCAGCCGTGCCTGTCGTCGCGGTTTGCTTGACAGTAAATAAGTAAAAACTTGTTGACCGTGTTCGTGTGGAAGGGATGCTGTCTTACGAGGGGGGAGAGGGGGTTTGCGACGAAGTTGTTGGTTCTGTTTTTAAACATAGTTAGTAATGGCTGCTTGAATCGGCCCAAGATGGCGGGACGGGGAGGAGAAAAAAGTGAGAGAGAAATAGAGGCAGGGGAGCTAAATTATCGAATATATCAAGCCTGTTGAGAGACATTGGGCGGCGAGTTCGGTTTCTCTCCGTTTATTTTTATACTTTTTACGTCGTTTTCACCTACGGTATTTTGCGTTTTATTTACAAAAAAAAAAACCCCGACGGGGACGGCTTGCTTGTGTGCTGCGTTTGCTGTGCGCGTGCCACCCCCTGCTCTCGGCACCTATCGCATCATCAACCTGTAGCACATTGGACACCGAACAAAGGCTACCGGGGGGTCCGTTTTTGGAGGTTCCCATTTTTTCCTCACTCTAAAAGAATGCACGATGCAGGTGCACAGTTTTTGCAAACCCCCCCCCCCCAGTCTGTTTCACTCGTCTGTTGAGTCGTGCTCAGGAGGTCTGGAAGGTCTGGGCCTCTTTCGTGTGCCATGATATGATATTCTTCGGGGTGAGGGTGCCTTAAGTGTAGACCCAATTATTCATGAGGCAGGGCAACTTCAGTTTTTTTTTTCCCCCCGCAGGCTGTAACCAATGCGGTTAACGTTTAGTTTCGCTATGCACCAATACTGGCACGTATGGTGCGACTGAACCAGTTTTGAAATTCGTGGACTTGTGTGTGAGAAACACGCTCTTGGAGGATTTGTCCTCATGCCCCGATATGTAAATTAAAAGGCGTCGGTGGTGCTCGAAGCCATTGTTTTTAACTACGGATTGTGTTTCCAGTTTTAGGGTTGTATTAACGATGCACACTAATTCTAGTCAGAGTAGGATATCACTTCCGTATTTGGGAATCTATAAACGAAACGGAAGGATAAACATTAGGGGAAAGATGGGCGTCATTTAGTCACACAAATGTCCCTTTTATCGAATTGTTGTTTTGTTGCGTGTTTGTGCTTGAACGCCAAGCCTTTGGATTAGCTTTGGTGAACGTTCACTTTAAATGAGCCCAGAATTTGGGGTTTTATTTCCAGGTACAATTTTGCCATGTTGTTACTTTTGCTGTCTTGGTGAAAATAACCTCGCAGGTTTTATGGTTTCAAAAAAGATGTGTGGGTGAGGCAGCAAAACCTTACTGCAGAACAGTGCGAACACGTTGGTAGAAAATTATTGCTGTTTGACCAGGAGTGTCTCTTCATAGCACATTGAGGTCCTGGGCGCCTGGAAAGTGTTGATTCTCTTACTGTGTGTAGTTTTCATTAAAAGTTTTAAATGTAAAACTACTGCTACAGTGGTCTTTATGAATCATTGGTAGGCCACCAAATGTCTGTGTTAGTCTTAAGCAATAGGGAGGATGGGATTACATTAAAATTAAAATGATGGATGCTTTCTGTATTAAAGAGACAGCACTTCATAAAGACATGCGTATTTACATATTGGGTAGAGGCCATTCAGCCAATGTAGTTCAGCACTTTAGATAGTTAATTGATCCAAGGATCCAGCCGTTTCTTGAAAAAAGTCCAAGGTATCAGCTTCAACAGAATGACTGGCTTGCTTGTACCATACTCCCACAACTATTTGTGTAAAAAAGTGCCTCCTGTTCCTAGTTTAAACGTGCTTAGACATACGTGCCACTTATTAAGAGCACATTGTTGGCCTTGACTTTGAATCTTTATCACTAGAAGATTACTATATAGGAGCCTCACAGACAGATTTTATTAAACATCCACTTAAGGCTGTCGTCCTTAATTTCCTTGTCAGTTTTTTTTGTGGTGGTAAACTGATGTCATTCTTTTATTTGGTGTGCATTTCCTTTACTGTGTTTCTGACCGTGGGGATTTCTTTTAACTAGAAGTAAAAGCATTGCAGTACTGACTCGTTAGTGGAAGATATAACTCGGCATTTTCTGTCATTCAAATGGTAAAAGCCTCGTTAAAGACTGATGTCGTCCTCTTTTCCTTATTGTTCAGAAGGCTTAAGGTTCGGTTTGATAAAAATAACTAAGGTTATGATTTTTCGGGTAAGTCATTAGGAGTGTGTGGACTCATCTGGATGTTTTTCTAGTGTTCTATTCACAAAAAAAACTCATCATTCTTGAAATATCCTAGATGAATCTTTGTTTTAAATTAATAAAAGCAATAAATCTAGGTACCAGCTAAATAGCCATTATCAGATCGTTAGCATTTTCATGGTATTGATTGGTGTTCTTGTTCTTTAAACTTGGCTGCCGCGGTGCAGTGAAGGGTTTGGCCGAAGGGCCGCATGATCTGAGGCACATTGATATTGTCCATGACCGCAGCATTCAGATAGTTTTCTCACAGTTGTGTCCTACACCTGAGTCAAAGGCTCGTTCTGACTTCTGTGCACGACGGTTCTACTCTCACCCTTGGCATCTAAAGGTTTCTCAGTTCTACAGCTGTGCATAGTGATCCCCTGGCATAACAATTACATTTGCTCTTCAGCGGTGAAAGTGATCTGTGATTTTGCTGTTGTTGCCTCATCAAGGAACGTCAGAAGCCAATAGTCAGTTAACGCTGTGAAAAGAATTGGAGTTATTTTGAATACTAGAAATTGTGGGATTTATCTTTAGTGATTATTAAGTGGACTAAATAATTTAAGCTTGGCGTAGTTGCAGCATTGCCATTGTAAACTTATTTGGATTAGTCTGAGGATTCCGTCTCTGCATTGTTGGTACTAAAGCTCTAATATACGACGAATGCTGAGTGTAAGAACACTGGTTTAAATGTTCGAGTATAAAATGCAGCAATATTCTGGAGTTGTGTATTTTTTGCAGTTGAAGTCTGCATGCCAAACTAGACCTATAAAAGCTTTCTGGGCGCCCTCTCTTCTATCAGCTTTGTATTTAAATTGACTAACCTTGGAATTAGGGACCATTCCAAACTAATGTTACAAGTGAGTAAGAAAAGATTAAGCCTGTTCCTTGGACTGGGATTTTGTATCAGTAAACAGCACATATTCTATCTTTGATGTGTAGTTATGTTTAGTTCTTTACAGGTAGCATGTAGACGTTTTTCATCTTGTTTTTAATTGTGCTGGTTCTCGAAGTGCATGGACTCTTCAGGTGAGGAAAGACTGTATTGTGGCATTAAGAAGTGTTTACTTTTTAAAGCCTAAATTTTTTTACAGCTTCTTCATCCTCCCTCCCCATATCTAAAGGGAAGTTTGCCAAACTTAACTACATCAGAATCCAGCTTATGGATGAAGGCTTCTCTTATTGGACCTGTATGAGCCTGAGTTGATCTAGACACTAGTTCGCTCAATCCTGGTTCATGGACATAAAATGGGCTTAAATAGTCATGTCAACTTCCTTGGTAAAGTGTGAGCAAGCTCTTCAGCCTCCCAGTTTCGCTCATTTTTGCCAATAGTAAAGATCTTCATTTCCTGGATTTGGAGTAACTCAAGCATACAAGGGATGCTGATAAATTATGCTTGGCGTGGGCTCCTTTCATGATCTGTGTTCAGAATCATGTTTTTTCTAATAGTGGTATTCACCTGCAGGACTTGTAACTGTCGAGTGGCTATAGTAGACTGGGTTGTGAGTTTCAAGTCCCCAAGTGTGGAGAGTCTCTGTATGAACTCTTTAGTGTTAATGTGTGTATTTCATATCTGTGGGCTGGCATATCTTGTGAGCTTGGATTTTACTGGTCTTGTGCAAGTTCTGACTTCTAGATGGTTAAAACTGTAACAAATAACAGTGGAGGCAGGGGTATTGGACCCTGGTCCTGCACAGCTGCAGTCCAGCAGATTTCATAGGTAACCTCCAAGTCGTCATTTTCTAAAGGCCAGGGTACAATTAAACAATTGGTTAAACAGGAGACGTGTTCAATGAAGTAATTATTTGGAATACAAAAACAAATATCCTTTGGCCTTCAAAGACTAATATTCCCTGCATTGACACATTACTTGCTGAATTGATCAGTTTGCTTCAACAAGTGTGCCTGATCTTTACACAAAAGATGACCTGTAAGAATAACTTGGTAGGTGCCCTCCATGTCCAGGATTGGAGACCTCTGGTGAACAGCATTACTCTATGTAAACAGTCATGGTGTAATCAGCTTAGGTTTAGTTCTGAGTAACCAGTCCCAGTATTCTGCCCAGAAGTTGCTATTTATTGCACTGGAACCGGAG